CACACACACACACACACACACACACACACACACACAGACAGAGGTTAAGACAGGACAGGCTGCATCTCTGTGTGTTTTCATCTGTTGTCGTTTCTATGTCTTTGAGAACACATTCCTATGTAGCAATAAATACTGAGTGTGTTATTTATGACCAGCAGTTGAATCTGATTGGTCAAAGAGGAGTCCTGATATACATTGTGACTGGGACGGTTTGTGTCGCTCCGCTTGTGTGTGTTTGTTCAGACAGACTGTCAGTCTTAGTGGAGATTTTACACTGACTCTTTCTACAAGTTACATAGTTACACCAGTAGGTGGCGACACGTGACTGTCTTTATGAGTGAATCATTTGAATCAATCATTTAACAGATTCATACAAAGACACTGATTCATTCAGAAGCTAAATAAATAAATGTGAATCACTGAATCATTCATTCAACTGATTCATTCAAAAAACACTGAATCATTCAGGAACAAAACAAATGAGCCACTGAATCATTCATTCAACCTATTGATTCGAAAACATAATTCAGGAATGAGGTAAGTGACTGACTGATACTTTTATTAAACTAAATTCTTAAAGACATAGTTCATCCAAAAATAAAAATTCTGTCATTGCTATTTACCGTCATGTCATTCCAAACCTGAACAAGCTTCTTTCTTCTGTTAAGCATAAAAGTAAAATATAGGTTACCAAACAGTGGGTTACTATGGATGTCAATGGCTACCGTCAACTTTTTGGTTACCCACATTCTTCAAAATATTTTCTTTTGTGTTTAACAGAAGAAAAACATTCATACATGTTTGGAACAACACAAGGATGAGTAAATGATGACATCGTTTTCATTTTTAGGTGAGCTATCCCTTTAAAGAAACACTACTTCACTGTGGAACAAAACAAATGAGTGAATCGTTGAAACATTCATTCAATTATTCAAAAACGCTGATTTATTGAGGAATGAAACACAGCTTTTGTGTTGCATTGGTTCTTCTGTGGCTTCATTTGAAACTATTTTCATTGGTGGAGCAAAAACACAGTAACAAACAATATTGCGTGTAAAGTATTGTGTCTAATAATGTGTCTAAATTGAATTTCTTGATTACTGAACAATTGTTTAAAAGCAAAATCAAACAATCATTTTTCCTCCATCCATTTCTAAGCAACATAGCAAATAGCAATAGTGAGTCATCTGCACTGTTCACAATAGTTTCAAACGAGACTTATTGCTCTGTCTCTCTCTCTCTGTCTTTTTGTCTGTCTGTCTTTCTGTCTCTCTCTCTGTCTGTCTGTCTGCCTGTCCCTCTGTCTGTCTGTGTGTCTGTCTGTCCCTGTCTGTCTGTCTGTCTGTCTCTCTGCCTGTCTGCCTGTCCCTCTGTCTGTCTGTGTGTCTGTCTGTCCCTCTGTCTGTCTGTGTCTGTCTGTCCCTCTGTGTGTCTGTCTGTCTCTCTGCCTGTCTGTCCCTCTGTCTGTCTGTCTCTCTCTCTGTCTGTCTGTCTGTCTGCCTGTCCCTCTGTCTGTCTATGTGTCTTTCTGTCTCTCTCTCTGTCTGTCCCTCTGTCTGTCTGTGTATCTGTCTGTCTGTCTCTCTGCCTGTCTGTGTGTCTTTCTGTCTCTCTCTCTCTGTCTGTCCCTCTGTCTGTCTGTGTGTCTTTCTGTCTATCCCTCTGTCTGTCTGTCTCTCTGCCTGTCTGTCCCTCTGTCTGTCTGTCTCTCTGCCTGTCTGTCCCTCTGTCTGTCTATCCCTCTGTCTGTCTGTCTCTCTGCCTGTCTGTCCCTCTGTCTGTCTATCCCTCTGTCTGTCTGTCTCTCTGCCTGTCTGTCCCTCTGTCTGTCTATCCCTCTGTCTGTCTGTCTCTCTGCCTGTCTGTCCCTCTGTCTGTCTATCCCTCTGTCTGTCTGTCTCTCTGCCTGTCTGTCCCTCTGTCTGTCTATCCCTCTGTCTGTCTGTCTCTCTGCCTGTCTGTCCCTCTGTCTGTCTATCCCTCTGTCTGTCTGTCTCTCTGCCTGTCTGTCCCTCTGTCTGTCTATCCCTCTGTCTGTCTGTCTCTCTGCCTGTCTGTCCCTCTGTCTGTCTATCCCTCTGTCTGTCTGTCTCTCTGCCTGTCTGTCCCTCTGTCTGTCTATCCCTCTGTCTGTCTGTCTCTCTGCCTGTCTGTCCCTCTGTCTGTCTATCCCTCTGTCTGTCTGTCTCTCTGCCTGTCTGTCCCTCTGTCTGTCTATCCCTCTGTCTGTCTGTCTCTCTGCCTGTCTGTCCCTCTGTCTGTCTATCCCTCTGTCTGTCTGTCTCTCTGCCTGTCTGTCCCTCTGTCTGTCTATCCCTCTGTCTGTCTGTCTCTCTGCCTGTCTGTCCCTCTGTCTGTCTATCCCTCTGTCTGTCTGTCTCTCTGCCTGTCTGTCCCTCTGTCTGTCTATCCCTCTGTCTGTCTGTCTCTCTGCCTGTCTGTCCCTCTGTCTGTCTATCCCTCTGTCTGTCTGTCTCTCTGCCTGTCTGTCCCTCTGTCT